GCAATCGCTTAACCCACTGAGCCACCCAGGCGCCCTAGTAATACATATTTTTTAGGTGTAATGATTGAGGTGGTTGTTTGGTGACCCTTGTATGTGATACACTAAGTACTTTTTGACACAAGGGAGACTGTTAGTTAAAGCCAACATTTACCAACTGTTTGTTAGGTTAGGGACTTCATACCTTATCAAAGTTGCCCCTTGCAATGTTAATATGAAATTAAAATTATTTCCATTTACATATGTGAACACTGAGGTTCCCATTCCTAGATCACTCAACTAGTAAGTGACCAAATTCAGACTTAAACTTGGCTCTTCCATGGTGAGTAAACTCTACGCACTGCTATATAGCTGCCCAGAAGGTTATCTTCCATACAGTACTATACAGCATAACGATGTAAAGAAAATGTTGGGCCTTAAAGTAGAATGTCCCTAGTAGAGCTGATTCACTTATGAGCTGTGTAAATTTGGGTAAGTTGTTCAACCTCTCTAGGCCTCAATTTTCTCATCTTTAAAGTGGGAATAATATTGCAACATAGACCGTGGGGAGCATTAAATATGTTCACACATTCGCAGCAACCAGACAGCGTTTGGCATGTAGAAGTAAGTACTCAATAAATTATACTTATTATTATTATAGGAATATGACCGAAGTCATCTTCCTCACCTGAGTTCAGAGCTCAGTGAAACCATCTGTCTCGTTGTCTAGGATTGATTTGAAGAGAGAGGGGGGCTATGTAATAATGTATATGTGCATATAAAAATGAGAAGGGGATCACTCTTCACTGTTTCAAAGTTAAATGAGGCACCCAGACTTACTACAATAGTCTGATGATTACGACTCCAAGACGAAATGAAATTCAACCATGTAAACTGTTGCTCCGTTTGTGAAGTCATTTTGATGTACGGACAGAATTGAACCCTTCTGTTGCACTCAGAAAATATTAGCTAGTGGCAAAGGGGAAAACGCCAGACCTTTGGACTTCTTTTCTGTGACAGCCGTCAATAACCCCAGATGGCCTCTGAAGAAGTTGGTAATGCAGAACCTGGGAAAGCCTCAGCAGGTTGTCCCCCAGCAAGCCAGGCGGAATCAGTGTTGATAGATAACTGTCTACCAGCCCACTGATGAATTGCAAAATCACCAGAAGAAACTACAAGCCCTTGGGGTATTTCAACCTTAGTTTAAAAATTAGAAAAATTTTGGATTTTTTCTACTAATTGGAAGAAAATAAGTATGTAGAAAACCTTGTTTATCCCCTTAAGGAAGAATCTGAGTTATTCATCACTGAGTCAATAATGTGCTTCTTTAAGAAAAGACTGGGGCCTATTTTAGGCCTGGGGAGTAGGAAACAACCTATCAACATTGGAGAATGGACTCCAATCTGACCACCACATCAGGAGGCTGAGTTCTTATGAACTCATATTCCGTATTTTAAATTTAAAAATTGTGTTATGGCCCTAAAATATGCTAGGAAGATATCTGACCCCATCTGTGTTACCAGCCATGTTGCCTCTACTCTTCTGCCACTTTCTGGAAGGTGTTTGTGAGAATGAACAGGAGCAGGGGGAGAGGGGGAGATGAAGGGCTGCCCCTGGGATCGGTGGGGATAGCACGGGATGAAAACCTCCCAGGGTAAGTCAGGCTTGACTTTATAATCATTTCAAGCACTGATATCTCCTTTCTGAAGAAAATTAAAATTGTCTCTTCTCCACTTACACTAGTATATGACCATTTTTTGCACACACACACACACACACACACACACACACACACACCCCACTTCTTACAGGCCATCCAGATCCTGAATGGAGCAACGATTCTGGTCCTGGGTGTTTTTCTAGGTTCTTTACAAAACCTATTCCATCTCTCCAGTCAGTTTTTCTTTATCTTCTACAAGCCTATCCACTGTGGGGTCCTATATTTGTGAGTATTCATACTCCCCCTGACCAGAGTTCACTGCTTAAATACCACTGCTAGAAGACTGCTAGAAGTGTGTTTGATTACTATAGTGTCGTTCTTAGGTGATTTGAAGATTGCCTGCTATGGTTTTGATTTGTAATTCTTTACACATATTTTAAAAACAAAGTGCCTGTGAATAGTGCAAGACTGTTGAATCACAGATCTGTACCTCTGAAACAAGTAATACAATATATGTTAAAAAAATAAATAGAAGAAGATAGCAGGAGGGGAAGAATGAAGGGAGGGAAATCGGAGGGGGAGACGAACCATGAGAGACGATGGACTCTGAAAAACAAACTGAGGGTTCTAGAGGGGAGGGGGGTGGGGGGATGGGTTAGCCCACTGATGGGTATTAAAGAGGGCACGTATTGCATGGAGCACTGGGTGTTATGACCAAACAATGAATCATGGATCACTACATCAAAAACTAATGATGTAATGTATGGTGATTAACATAATAAAAAACAGTAAAAAACAAACAAACAAACAAACTAAGTGCCTTTCTGATTAAGAGAAGTCGTATTTGCTGAGTACAACTTAAGTCCCAAACACTGAGTTAATGCATTCATGTATTAAACCCAGGTATTATGTTTATGGATACTAAGAAAATCAAATGAAAACTGAGTATTGATGAATTGTATTGTGTAGCCAAGAGGAGCCTGCTTTGGGACATAAGAGATTTGCCTGCTGATTACAGTCTGGAAATCAGAAGACTGATTTCCCCTATCTGGGTCAAAATGTAATCAATAAAATAAGCTTTGGTCTTAGGTGATCTTAAAATTTATTTATTTAGCTTTGTTATTTGATTATCACCTACCTGATGGTTTACTTTTTAAAAAGGTGACTAGTAGGAAGTGTTTGTTAATTAGGCAGGACTTGTTTTGTTTGTAGATTCTGGTGTTAGAACTTTTGAGAATTTATATGTGTTTGGTCTCAAACAAAGATGCTACCATGACATAGCAAAGATGGGAAAGTTTAGTTGAAAATAGTAAACGGAACATGTAATTGGCAAATGAAGAAGAAAGAAACTTATAGTAAATCTTGGGCTCTGATTTATTCAAGCTTTGATTTTTTTTCAAAATCATTGACCTTCAGCTGTCCTTTAAAACAAAATGGCTCATCTGGCCAAAATTTCTTGACCCAAAACAGATCTCATATTTTGACAAAAGATTATATTCAGTTTCTGGATATAGTCTAACACATGTAATTTAGATTTAACATATCTGAAATGTTTAGGTAGTTAATATGACCGTTTAGATGACCTAGTTAGAATCTGGATTTTTTTCTAGAAAACTGGGAATACACATTTTCTCTGCATCGTGAATCCTGACTATCTAAATGGGAAATTTCCATGTTGTAGAAAAGAGAACCATGAAGGGTTTCAGTTATTCAATTGGAAAAGAGTATTCTTTTCTCAGAAAGCTGAGGTCAGTTTGTGAAAAAAAGTGGTCAGGGAACCAGAGCTCACTCTTTTAAGGCATCCTCAAGACTAAGATTCAAATCTGACCGTTGAATTCCCATTGCCGGAAGCTTTTCTCTGGCTCTGTATAACCGATGGAGCAAAGTCTAAGATCCATGACATGGAACAAAGCCTTTGCTATCTGGTCTTACATGCAACTGTACCGTAGTCTCCCTCCCCTTCCTTCTGTATGCATGCCCTGCTATATATACAACAATCTTCCTCTTACTAATCGTTATTAAACCGTGTGACTTTAGAAAAGATATTTAAGCTCTTACCCTTCAGTTTCCTAGGATAGTAGAGATAATATGAGGACCTTATCTTTGGGTCACTATGAAATTAAAAGGAAAAAAATATATGAAAACCTTAGCTATTATGAATAATATGAGGGCTTTGTGTATGCTGGGCCCATATCTAGGACCTTGCCATGTATTATTTTATTTTATCACCATATAGCAATAAGGTCAGTGACATTAACATGGGGATATGCACATCTCTATTTTACAGAAAAAGAAACACAGGCAAAGAGGGGCATGACACTGCCTCAGGTTATAGGATGAATACAAGCTGAAGACTGCATCAGGACACAGAGCGCAGGCTCTTGGCCATGAAGCTCTAGCGAGCCTGGAGTTTCTTGTGATAACCACTTTGTTATTTGAAGTGGAATTCAAAACCTGTTCCTTCATGTTCAAACAATTCAAGAATTGAATTTATGTAGCAAGCTTTTGCTTTCCACGATTTTGGCAACTTTGTCTTCAAACCCTAGGAGTGGCTTGGTAAATTGTAAGATTTATGGGGTATAAAACAGAATGAAGTTTTAAGAAAACCATGAACTTGTAGAGAATTCAGTATGTCAAATTAGAGTCATGAAAACAATAGCTTATCAAAAATAATCATTTAAAAATTAGTGGATATATCAGTATAGACAGATTTGCAGAAGTTCTTTTAGAACATCTAATCCAATAAATCAGACCCTTATCTGAAGCCTGGGTAAGAACATGAGAATAATGTTACATATGCATGTGTATATGAGTAAATATTATTGGGGCGCCTGGGTGGCTCAGTCGTTAAGCATCTGCCTTCAGCTCAGGTCATAATCCCAGGGTCCTGGGATCGAGCCCCGCATCAGGCTCCCTACTCCGCAGGAAGCCTGCTTCTCCCTCTCCCTCTCCCCCTGCTTGTGTTCCCTGTCTCGCTGTGTCCCTCTCTGTCAAATAAATAAATAAAATCTTAAAAACAATAAATATTATTTACATTTACTAAAAATTGAAGCATAAAGATAATTATGTTACATTAAATATATGTATTTATTATATTTTTAAAGTATGTACACTCAACCTATAAAAAGCTAGACATAAAACATAATGAAAATATTATATATTTGCTCAAAATTTTAACTAATTTAAAATTTTATTGCTATAACATGATGAATGACATCGAGTATAATTCCACGTGGTAGAATGTGAATTTAAAAAAGAAACTTTGTGCAACCATTGCTAGATAGCTACTAATTGAAGGAGTACAAAGAAAAAATAGTTGAGACTTAGTATTTTCTTATCTGTTTCATTTCCTGTGTTCAAACAGTTCATGGTTTCAGGATCCTTATCTGTTGCAGCTGGGAGAAACCCCACAAGAGTGTTGGTAAGTGGCAGTTCTTCTTGTCTTCCTTTGATCATAGGACTAGAAATGAGTTATTCGTTAATAGCAGGAGAATAGAGGCTGGTGAATCCAACTGAGACACCGAGTTTCATGTAATGCATAAGAAAATTCTCTTTTCTTAAGGCATTCAGATGGTCAATTATCAGAAAACCATAGAGATTCGAATGATTATTGGGATGGTTACCTTGAATATTTGATGAATCTGAAGCTCAGAAAAAGGCTTCTTGATTTTTTTTTGTGTCGTGAAACTTGGCCAAAAACAAGTCCTGCCTAATTAACAAACACTTCCTACTAGTCACCTTTTTAAAAAGTAAACCATCAGGTAGGTGATAATCAAATAACAAAGCTAAATAAATAAATTTTAAGATCACCTAAGACCAAAGTTCTATTCCTTTAGTGATTCATTAAACACTTTACTACGCCCTTGTTCTGTGTTCTATCTGAATCATCTGCGCAGCCACGCAACTTGCCTAGCTCATTCACTCTGCCCCCTCCCTGGATGGCCACCTCGAACACCAATCCCTTTTCTCTCACCTTTATTCTCTATTGATGACCTTGCTTCCTATTCTGAGAAACTCAAATCATTAGAGAAGAACGTTCAGACCCCCACTCTAATATCCACTTCGTGGACCAGATCTGTACCATTTCTCTTTTCATTCTAACCTCTTACAGCAGGTGACCTCGCTATGATTTTCTTCAAAGCCAGTGTCCCTAAACTTGAATACTAGAGTCCTTTCTGTTTTTTTTTTCCCACCCAAATGCACCACTCCAAATGTCTTTCTCCTAGATCTTTTTAATCAGCCTATAAGCATCCAGTTACTGCTCTAAACAGAAAAAAAATATTTTGACCTTATTGTCTCCTGATAGCTATGTGCACAATTTGCTTTTCCTTCTGTAGCTAAACTCTTTAAATGGATTATCTGTACTGTCTCCAGGTCAGATCTACCCAGTTTCAACTAAACCCATTCCAATAAGGGTTTATTTTCTTCCCTATCCCATCTCCATAATCATTCTGCTTAAGATTACTGAAGACTTCTAGGCTGACAACACAAAGATCGACTCCCAGTTCTTATCTAACTTGACTCATGAGCAGCATTTAGCACAGAGTTGGCCACTCCTCCTTCAGTAATTTCTTCACTTGGCCTCTCGAACACTTTGATTAGCTGGTTTTCCTCCTGTCTTTTCAGTGTCTCCTTCTCAATGTCCTTTCCTAGTTCTTTTGCTTCTCTCTGACCTTCGAAGGCTGGGGTGCCCCAGAGGTCAATCCTTTGTCACCTGCCCTACTCATTCCTTTTGTGACCTCCTCCATGCTCATGGCTTCAAGTGACATCTGTATGCCTACAACTGTGAAAAAATACTTCCAGCCTCGATCTCCCTCCTGGGCAACAGTCTGGCGGATCTCATGGCTTCCACTTAGAGTTCTAAAAGCCCCAAAATTCTACTCCTAATCTTCCTCGAATCTTCCCCCTCCACTGTCCTCTCCATGTCCACTGATGAGAACTCCCTCCTTCCAGATTCCCAGGCCAAAAACCTGGGAATGACCCCCGATTTTTCATTCTTTGACAATCTTGAATCCAATTTGTCAGCAAATCCTATTGGCCCTATGTTCAAGCTCAACCCAAGTTTGGCTGTTTCTCATCCAGTCCACCACCATCTTTCTTAATTGGGCTCCTTGCTTCTACCCTCGGCCCTCTCTAAACCAGTGCCGCTTGAGACACCATTGTTCCCTTTGATATGTTCATCTAATCGTGTTGCCCCTTTGCTCAAAGTCATCCAGTGGCCCTATGTTTTCCTCAGAGTAAGAACCAAAGTTCTTTTCGAGACCTGCAGGGCCCGGTGTGATCCAGCTCTCCTCTTTTTCTCCATCTTCAGTTCCTCATATTGTTGACTTTGGCCACTCCCCTCTAACCATCCACCTTGTGCTCTTGCTTCCCCGAAACATGCCTGCAGCACTCTGGCCGGAGGGCTCTGAGCTGTTTCCTTGCCTGCAAGGACTCTCCTCCAGTTACCCTCTTGTGTATCCCGCTCGGCTCCTCACTGCCTCTTCCTGGGCAACATTCCCATTAATACCACCATCTCCATTCCTCGCTGGATGTCCAGGTCCTCCTCACTCCACTCCATTAGCCTGCAATACTTAACCACTTTTAAAAATACTATGTAATTTACCTATTTGTAGGCTCAATTGTTTTCTTTGTCTTTGCTGCTAGAATGTAAGCTCCATGAGAGTGTGGACTTTGTTTGTTCATTGATGTGTGCCCAGCATCTAGGATGATGCTGGGTGTGTAAACAACCTTAAATCGATATTTATTTAAATGAATCACCAGCAAAGGAAAGAAGGATGTGCTTCCTGTATTAACTGAAAATTCCTATTCTTTTTTTAGGTGCAAATCACTTTTGGAATGAGTATTGCCAGCACTGCTCTGGATCTAGTTGGGTTTGTTTTCCTCTCAGTAAATTTGGCAGTTAATAAGCAGTCTTTCAAGAGTTGTGAGTCTTCACAGTCACAGGACTTAGGCATTTTCGTGGGCATCTTTTCAAACGTATGTTTTCAAAAGTTGTGTTTAATTAGAAAATATTTCAAACAATCTAAAATGTTCGGAAGAATAATATATCAGCTATCCTGCGACCTTGATTTGAATCTGGGCTTTGCCACTCATTAGCTCCGTAATGAAAGTCAAGTTAGACAATCTTTCTGTGCTTCAGTTTGCTCACCTTTCAAATGAGGATGATAATAGTGTCAGTCTCACAGAGTTGGTGTAAGGATTAAACAAGTTAATATTTAATGAACAGTTAAAACAGTGCACATTGTGTTATATTATTAATATTTATTACTACTACTATTATACTCTCCAGAGAGATTAAATTGAAAAAAAAATTCTTTCACATCTTCCTTAATAAAACTGACTTGGAAGATTTACAGTGTTCTCTGTGGTCTGGGATCTTCAAATCATGACTCACTTTTGAATTGTGGGGGGTATTTTATTTTTAAAGGGAAGTTCCTTAAGAACCTTTTCAAATGATTTTGTTGTTTGTGTGAGATAATCTCTCTCTTCTGAGGTCCACTTAGAATTAAGGTTTTCCTTCAAATTTGCCTATTTTCTCCATGATGACCTATTTTTACTGACTGACTCCCAGTCCTCCTGTGTGCTGGCATAGAAGTTTGTGCCTCATTTTTTTCTAAATTGTATTTTTAATTTTCTAAGTTTATATTTATATGGGTCTGATTTTTTTTTTTTCCTGTGGGTTTCATAGTATTTTCCCTCTGGAGCAATTTTGTATTTGCTTCTTCAAGGTGCCTCAGTGATTATAGAAGAATCGCTAATCTAGTAATTTTGTGTTTAATATTTCAGCTTAGTGTTTAGTTTCTAGCAATGATGTAAATGCACAAACCCTCTAATGAAGTTCCATTAATGAAATGGTGGAGGGGTCATTTTTGTCTATTTTCCTGAACTTCCTACTCATCTTCCTAGTTTGCTATGACTCAAATTAGTAAATGTTAGTGAGAATATCAGCATTTTACCTCTATGGTTTCTTCACCCATGACTACTTCACGTGGGTTGATAAAGAAATGCAATGTGTCTCTCTCTCCAGGGAAAATATTTCCATGTTTTTAGGGTGACAAAGTGTCTCTTATAGAGTGTTGGTGTGTGTCTATGTCTTAAATCTAATCTATGGTTCACTTTGTTCTGTTTTAAGGGCGGGAGACATTATATTTGGTTTCCTGATGATATTTTTTTCCCTCTGAATGTTTGTACTGGGTTTGATATGAGGAATCATATCCCCTAGGGCCTGATGTCCCTAATGCTGATCCTTACCTTGCTGGAATTATGCATAAGCATCTCTGTCTCAGCCATGTGATGCATAGAAAGCTCACGTAATTTGATTAAGTTGGGTTTTTTTCCATAACTAATAATTCACATAGTCTGCTAAGGCTTGAGGTTCTCTCTGAGTCCCAGAATTAGAAAGACACATTTATGCAGTAATGATTTGTGGGGTTCCTGGAGTTGGAGATGGTATGAATGTGAGGGATGGAATGAAGGCTGGAATATGAGGAAACAGTGTATTTAATGTAATATTCAATACATGTATAACACCATAGTATAATGTTAGAGTAATATAATTAGTATAATAATAAATTAAAATATCAATAATAATACAACTACAACAATATAATGAATATTATAATAACATTTAATGTATTTTTATACAGATATAATTAAGTTCAATTATTTCCTTGTAACTTGTCAGTTTCTAGTTGTCTAGCCAGGAAAAAATTATTAATTCTTTCCAGATTTTAGGTAACTCAACTGTAAGATGAAAACATTTTCATTCTCTTCTGGTGTTTGTTGTGAGGACCATGTACGTAAAACTTCAGCACAGTAATAATCAGCAATCACATGTTATTGGTGATGATCATGATGATTAAGGAAGGGATGGAAGGAGAGGGAGGGGATATCCTATTCTTGGACATTGATGTTTTATTTTCCAGGTGATTTCCTTTCCTTCCAATTCTGTGTAAGCAGGAATGCCTCCTGATGAAAATAAGTCTGAGAGCAAGGAAATTCAAGCTTAAATCTCCAGTGAGTCAGAGCTTCATCCAAGAACTCAGGAGGATGGGAGCCTGCAAAATGTAATCCTACTCTCTTAGGGTACCAATCATGAGAAACTTGAATATTTGACTCAGTTTTTTCTGTCCTAATTATAAACTCCATTAGTATGTTTGGATATGGAAGGAAAAATACTTCTTTAGACATTCTTGGTTTCATAACTTCTGTGATCACCACTCCAAAGTTGTTCCCAGAATCAGTGCTCTTTCTTCTTACCCACCTACTCCACTGCTTTATAAGGTTTAAAGAAGCCAAGTAGAAGAATTCCTGTTTTATGTATTCTCTCTAAACCTAACTCCCAACCATCCACTGAAAAAGAAAATGAGTCAGATTTTTTTTTCCACTGCAGAAAAACACTTCCTGACTTCAGCTGACATCAGCATTGTAAAAACTCAAAAATCCATCATTATCATCAAAATATATTTTTACTACATTTGATGTGGGAGGGTCAAGCCTCAGAGATTTTATTTCAGTCAGCTTCTGAGATTCCAACATGCCCTGATACAGAAATGATGGTGTAGACTGGGGACTTTGAGAGCAATATCAACATTTGTTCTTCAAAGGATGGTGAGAAACTATAAAACAGAGAAGTAAAAAATAAGGCTTTGGAATCTCACAGATCTGGCTTTAAATTTTGATACTATCACTTATTACCCATGTGAACTTGAGCAAGTTACTTAATCTCCCTGACCTGTTTTCCCTCATCTATGAAATAGGTGTGATAATATCAGTGACCTCCAGGCACCTGGGTGGCTCACTCAGTTAAGTAACCTACTCTTGATTTCAGCTCAGGTCAAGATCTCAGGGTCCTGAGATCAAGCCCCACATCGGGCTCCATGCTTAGTTCAGAGTCCGCTTGAGATTCTCTCTCTCCCTCTCCCTTTGCCCCTCCCACCTCTTGTGTTTCCCTCTAAATACATACATCCATACCTGCATACATACATACAAAAAATCTTAAAAAAAATCAACGACCGTGTCAGTTGTTATGAGGGTTGAACAAAGTATGGCAAAGGCGAAATAGACCCACAAGTACTAAATAATGCTGTTATTGGTGCTGCCGCTGCTGCTGTTAACGCCGAGGTGGGATGGTGGTCAGATGTGCAGGGAAGATGGCAGAAACCCTCACTTCTGTTGTGGCTCCTCCTATCCCCCAGTGATATTAATGGCTATCTTTTCAAGGTGGCAGTTTGATGTTAAAGCTCCTTCTGATATATCTGGTTCCTGATTTATCTACTGCTGAAGTGCTTATGTTTCACATTTATAAATGAATTCCCTTCTCTTGATACTAAGATGAGTCATTCATAATGTCCGTAAGTTCATACCCATGGGCTACTCTTAGCTCCTTGTTTACCATATGTGCAAAAATTCTTTCACCCTCTTCTCAACTAGTTGCCTCTCTTCTTCAGAGCACACACACACACATACACATAAATAAATACATATATATATATTTTTATCTGCTTTTTAATCCATTCAACAATATCTAGGGAGCGTCTACTATGTGCATGTTCTGTGCTACAAGTTTAGGATACAATAGAGAATGATGGATAGTTTCTGCTCTCAAGTTGCTCATAGTGGGATATATAGACCCATGGAAATATGTAATTACAACATGGAGTAATAAGGGCATTGATAGGAAGAGTATAGGAATCTGGGAAGATATAGGAAGAGTTTCAATCTTAGGTTAGAGGAGATAACACTTTTTTTTTTTAGAAAACCTTTCTTCTAAACTGAGGTCTTAAAGATGACTAGAATTGGCATGATGAAGGGGGATACACGCAAAAGTCTTTAACCTGGGGAGAATTGGGGATCTTTAGGGAACTAACAAGAGAGTTTAGTGTATCTATGCTGTGTGAGGGGCAGATGGCAAGATAAAACTTTGGAGAGGGAAAAAGTACACACATCACAGGTTTCCATAAGACAGAGCAGCTCTTTGAGTCTTTAGAAGCAATTGAAAATTGTCTGTAGTGGTGTTGAGCTGGCTTATGTAGACTTGTGAGAGCTGTTTTAAAATTTTCAGGGATCAGGGCGCCTGGGTGGCTCAGTTGGTTGAGCAACTGCCTTCGGCTCAGGTCATGATCCTGGAGTCCCGGGATCGAGTCCCGCATCGGGCTCCCTGCTCGGCGGGGAGTCTGCTTCTCCCGCTGACCCTCCCCCCTCTTGTGCTCTCTCTTTCTCTCTCTCAAATAAATAAATAAAATCTTTAAAAAAATTTTCAGGGATCACAAGTTCATATATTTTTGGTGGATTGAAGTTGGCTGTGGTGGTAGTATTTATACCTCAGAGATTGGTAAGCCGCAAATCACATTCCCACCCCCATCTTCCAACTCTGGAAGGCCAGTTGAATATTTACAGCACACCACTGGATAAATATGGACAGGGCATGCACTTACTTGAAATTTAGAGATATCCTTTTAGTTGCAATGTAGAGTGTATGGGAAGGAGTTAGTGGAGAAGAGGTTGATTAGGAGTCGGATACAGTACACAAAGCAAATGATGGGTACATATAGACGTCAGCAGAAGAAAAAAGTTATTTAGAGTAACATTTGTATTATCATTTTTAATTCTTTCTACTTTTCTCCTCTAAGATGTTATAATTAAATAAGTAATTTCTTTGTATTTTCGCACAGATAATCTGCTAACAAATTTTGATCAAAACATATTGACATCCTATAGTGGACATTGTGATTGTCTTTCTGGCAGCCATTCTAGCTGTCCCCAGCTTGATGGTAAACTCAAGATTTTGGTAGGGTTAACCTCACCCTGGGCTGCAGGGCTCACCACGGGAAATCTGAACCCATCAGAACACTTCCATTCTTGATTGTATCAGCCCATGAAATGTCCCTGGACCAGGGCTTGATTCAGTTGTGGAACCATCAACATTAAGTTGGAGGGTTTTTACAAATGTAAAATACAACCTTCCCTTTCATCATATTTGTGAATTAAGCTACAGCTAGAACTAGTAGCTATTAGTGGCCATGGCAAAAAACTAACCTGAAGGCAATGTAAGAGAATTTCAGAAAATAGAAATCAAACCCTAACCTAGCCACACCTGAAATTTAACCTGTATCTGGAATTAAAGTTTCATGAACACATTTTGTTTTTATTGTTAAACATTTGTTGCAAATATATTCTCCCATTCTGATTGTGTTTTGTTTTATTTTGGTGTTTTTGTTACCTCTTGTTTTGCTTCCACCCCAAATTGTTGTTGTAGTTATATTTACTCACTTTTCATCATGATTTATGCATTTTGTGTTTTGTGCAAGAAACCCTTCCTTACCTCAAGTCCATGGAGATTTTCTTTTTATATTATGATCTTTAATACATCTGTAATTTACTTTTTCTATAGAGAGTAACATCATCATCATCATCACCATCATCCTCCTTTTGGAAAGCTAATAATTCTAGAAATTTTCGGTTGAATATCTCCTTATTTGCCATACTGACGTTGACATACATGCATGCATCTACCCAGAGCCTCCTATTTCAGAGACTTTGTTGTTGTGAAAATACCACATTGTTTTAGTTGTACAACATAATTACTTTTTGGTAGTATGGACATTTAACAGTATCAATTTTTCCAATCCATGAGCATGGAATATATTTCTATTTATTTGTGTCATCTTCAATTTCTTACATTAATGTCTTACGGTTTTCAGTTATTCTCTTTAATTATGGGATTTTTCCTTTCAGGATCTTGCTCATCTTTTATTATATTTACACCTACAAATGGGGGCAAATTTCTTTCTTTTTAAAAGATCAATATATATCCTTAGTCTCTTCTCATCTGAGACACTTTCTCAGACTACCCTTGTTTTTCATAACTTTGACATTTTTGAAAACACTGTTCTGGTATTTTGTAGAATGTCTTCTCAGTGTGGGTCAGTCTGATATTATGCCCTGATTCAACTAGATTTATGGTTTTGGGGGAAGACTTTCATACAGTTGAAGTACCGTTCTCATCACATCATGTAAGGACACCCAGTATATTCATATCAACATGGCATCATTAATGTAATTAACCATGATTACTTAGTTAAGGTGGTGTCTGTGAAGGGGTTCGGAACAAAGTCTCCCCAAGATGTGCCTCTTTAGCTTGTAGACTGTTTTGAGCTGAAGGCAATCAAGACCCTGTGGGCTCAAGAGAAACTTTTGTCTCTCCCTTAACTACCTAGAGGGATCTAAATTGGAGATCTTTCCCAGAATAAGGGTTATTGACAGAGATAAAATTATTTTTTAAAGATTTATCTATCTGAGAGAGAGAGAGCATGCGCGAGCAGGGGAAGGGGCAGAAAGAGATGGAGAGAGGAGAATATCTTTTTATTTTAAGATTTTATTTATTTATTTGATAGAGATAGAGAGAGGGAGAGCACAAGCAGGTGGAGGGGCAAGCAGAGGGAGAGGGAGAAGCAGGCTCCCCGCTGAGGAAGGAGCCCGACATGGGGCTCGATCTCAGGACTCTGGGATTATGACCTGAGCCAAAGGCAGCCACTTAACTGATTGAGCCACCCAGGCGCCCCTAGAGAGAGAATCTCAAGCAGACTCCCCGCTGAGTGTGAAGCCCGACACAGGGCTCGATCTCATGACCCTGAGATCAGGACCGGAGCTGAAATCAAGAGTCAGATGTTCAACTGACTGAGCCACCCAGGCATTCCACCAAAGATAAATTTTATGTGAGTGACCCATCTGTATGGCAGGGCAAATATCTAATTACTAAACATCTACCCTTCTTATTGCCCTGTGATTTTCCTTCCCCCTCTTTGAAGCCCCAGGTCCTTATCCCATTCCTTGGCTCAAGATGGCTTATATACCTCATTTTACCTTTTTGTCTTTGCACCTCTCATATATGTGGAACTCTCGTACATATGAAATTAAATTTGATTTTCTCCTGTTAATCTGTCTCGTGTCAATTTAATTCTTGGACCAGCTGAAAGGAACTTTGAATGGTAGCATTTTTTTTTTAGAACAGAGTACATGGGTGGGTCTCTAGTTTGAAAATGCTACTGAATATCCAGTAGCATTAATGCATAAAATTTACATTAAATCTAAAAATCATGTATTTTTACCTTTATGGATTAAGAGAAATTATAAAACTTTCCAGAGAAAAACTACATGACACATACAAATATTTGTAATTTTGTAAATAATTGTAAAATCACATTGGAATTGCCAAAATGAACTCTAGATGCTAGAAGAAAATGGAGTGAATGATTCTGAGTAAAAGAATATTTTCCATTCAAACACTATACTTCTCTAGACTTCAATCAAGTACGGGGGTGTAAAAAAGGAAATATCAGGCCAGCAAAACCTCAAAAACTCTTATCTTCCAGATACCCTTTCTCAGCATGTAACTGGAGATTGTGTTCTACTGGGACCACGAGAAAATAGAAATGGAGCTAGGGAGCCCGAAAGGGGGCGCTCTTGCCCACATACCACTCCCCGCAGCCTGCATTGCCCGCGGGAAGAAGGAAGATGATTAGTTTATTAAGGGAGGATGTTTTCACATAAGAATTTTATCTCCTGCTTGTAAGAAAAAGAATAAAGATCTCTCCCAGCCCCTGCAACAACGCACTAACCACAGCTTGCAGCCAGTGAAAAATCGCCACAACCTCAAATCCTTGTTCTTCTCCAATGAACTTTTGTTCAAAACGACCCTCCCCAGTTTCCTTCTAAAACCTATTAAAAGCTGACCTCCCCTTGTTTTTCGGACTCACCTACAGTTTGCCATACTTTGCGTGTTCCAAATTGTGATTCTTCTGCTATTCCTGAATGAACTCATTTTGCTGGTAAAATAACTGGCCATTTTATTTTTCTGGTTAACATTTCCAATGTGCAAGAGTACACGAAGCAAGAGAAAAAAGTGGGATCAAGGAAATAAAGAATCCAATATAAGACAGGATAATGGGAAGTCCTACAATGACAACAGTGTGGCATGCTTAGGGGCAACCAGTTCAGACTGGAACAAGGGCAGACAGGTGATCCAGGAAAAATCTGTGCTACCTCATTCTCCAGGGTTAGCAATGGGAAAAAGAGGGCTGACAGGCGATGTATACAACACTCAGTAGGTATTGGAGGATAAAATTACATTTTCAAAAATAAGCTGATAAAGAATAGGAAATTATGCAAAGTTTTGGAATAATACTGAAAACAGTAAAAAATGATTTTGACCAAATATTCCAATATGGTTATAGTAGGAGGGCAGGGGGAAAGGCAGAAGGGTTTAGGAAAGCTCATCATTCATAATAGAAATAGGAGTTAATGTCTGCCCTTTGCCTATGATTCTAGGTGTCTCTTATTCTCCCCACTGAGCAGATGTTTTTGGTCACAAGAGAACAAATATATATATATACACACTTATAATTTTCCCTGTTAAAGTGCCATTTGGGGAACTAGAAGGAGTGTAAGCAGATAGATAACAAACACGTGCAGGACCTTCACAGTTGAATGGCCCGGAAGGAGCAATGGCAGATCAGCTTCAATCTCAGGAAGGGTTCAAAGCGATTTTAAGTCCCTGGGTTGTCCGTGTAAATCTTTTTCTTTGCATTTCTGAAGTCATTAAATGAAGAGACAAAGAGGCTTTCGCTTTTAGTTCCACCTGTCCGGTTTTGTGAACAATATTTTCTTACTTCCTTCCTTTTTATAACCCAACTTCCCATGGAACCCTTGGTGTTTGGTGTCAGTTTCAGCCTTTCTGGGCCTCTTAAAGAGAGAGACAAAGGGACACAGAGAGAGAAAACGAGGGTGTAATGATTCCTTTGGGAGTATCAGAAAATACCCCCTAAGAGCTAACATCTTTCCATTTGTAACATGAAAATTGGTGCATATTTATTTTAAGCAAATTGAGCATTCAGTCGGAGAAAACAATTGTTCAGATGGGATCTGAAAGCAAATCTGAGTTTGGAAGAATAAGTCCAGTGTGTACTGAGAGAAGAAACTGCTTGTGGAACGAAGGTGTGCTGATGGAAAGCATGTGCAAATGCACTGCTGGATGGATATACACGCCCTGTGGTGCAGGAAATGATCACTCTATTATCTCTTTCTTTCTGACAGAAGCATGATTAAAACTCATCTTGATAATCTTGCCTCCACCAAAAAAAAAAAAAGTCATATTGGCATATCTTTCAATGTTCACAATTGTGAAAGACAACACCACATGTTCTAAGGGCTCAAATGTGGGTACAGGATTGGGTAAGCATCTCAAGAGGGGCAGAAGGAGGTGCTGGTGAAACCAGGGTATGAAGCAAGTTAGGGGCCATAAGGTATGTCTGAGTTTCTGGTTTGCATTTTGCAAGTTCCTATTGAAAATTCTCACAAAACAGTAACATGTCCAAACGCCAAAGACCATCCTCCCTTTGTTTTCTGTCTAAACCTCAAGCTTAATTTCTTAATTTGCTGCACACACAATGCACTATTACATGCTCCCAGAAAACACCACCAACGGGCATTTCCTCAGGACTTTTGCCAGCAGATGTGGTCTCATTCTGCAGATGAAAACCCTTGACGGCATGATTTTAAGTCCTGGCTTACATGATACTTTCTCAGGGAATCTCTTCCTTGAATTCTGCACACCCTTTAGCAGGTAGAATTGTTACATCTTCCTGTGTGTTCCAGGAGCGTCTGAAATATTAGTAACGTGACTTCATTTATCTCTGACCTAGTCTTCTAGCTTGTGAGAGTGAGCAGGACAAGGGCTGGTACCATGGTATCCACCTCTGCATGCTCAGTGACAGAGAAGTGCCTGACCTAGAGACCGAAGTCCTTTTTGGATGAATGTGTACATAAAGAAGTTTTATTCCTTAATTTCGATAACACATTGGTTCAGTCCACAAGTTCCCAAAGACACAGTGGGAAGATGGCACATGGCTTAATACATTTTTGTCTTGAAAGGTACGCTCATATATCTTTTAATGTGCTCTGTTCACACACATACCTTAGTTTCCTGGAGAATGAGGAGAAGTTTCATCACATCCCAGAGAGACAATACAGGTGACTAGAGGGGCAATTTGGAGTATCTTACAGTTGAAGGAAGAGCCACTCAGGGGTATGTCTATAATTAAACTGAAATAAAATAATCCCAAATCTGTGAATCTCACCTGTGTATTAATTTTGCCATGTATTCTTTTTTTTTTTTTTTTTTAGCTAGTTATGCTATTAAGATGAACACGTCAGTTAAGCTCTGACCCTAATTTAGATACAGGGCTCCGTCCAATGCTGCTTAGATCTACTCATAGGATTTGTTATCAAGTTCACGCCCCTCGGTGCTTCATGGCCACATCCTTGCCATCACAAAAATCAAAGCAGCAGAGAGTCTGTGTAATGTTTAGCAGTCCAGGGAGTCTTTTGTGTGAACACTTAGCTCCCACACTCTATCAGGAGTGGCTCAGAGCATTCTTCCTGTCCAGTCTCTGAGCCCATCTGCTGCAGAGAGCCATATAAATGATGTCCAAAAGACAGGAAGAGAGAGAAAAAGACAATAAATATTGAAGTCAGAGACAAATCCAGAGATTCAGAGGCTAAGACACACTCACTAGTAGTGCTTCAGCCCTAGATTATGTGTGAAGCCACCTATGCCTTAAAGAAGGAAGACATGTTTCCAGAGGTACCTTTGGGAAACTTCTGATACAGAAATGGTCAAGTAGAGAAAGCTCCAGAAAGGAAGAACATCTCTTTCTGTTCTGCAATTCTCTCTCACCTTCTCAATCCCCACTAAACTGTCTCATTTGTTGGTTCTGTAAATTGTGCTGGGCTCAGGCAGATTTATTCTCCAGGAGTCTCAAATGTCTACATTTCATACTACTCCCTGTTCAGTTCTTGATTTTGTTCTTCATTCTAAAAAAATAACAAACGAAAAACCCTATTGCTCTTAATCAGCTGGGAAACTTATCTGACAAATGTCTTAAGTATGAAGATAGTCATCAGTGTCATGAGCCAACCCATGTTAACTGCCCATGTGGAGCACACTGCAGGAGGAAGCCCACCAAGGCTCACCGTAACAACATTCCTCACCGGTGGACAGCTCAACTGATGAAGAAATGGACCCAGAAAATAGTAGCAGAGCAGGTCTTGCTCTCCCAAACCCACAAGGGCCCTCCAGGTAAGTACAAGCTACGGTTTTTTTCCTTTTCCCAGCGGGCCAGAGATAGTCACAGTGCTGGGGAGATGTCAGTTCATGGATTTAGGCACAGACCCATCTGGTTTAATTAATATATTGAGTATAGGGGCACCTGGATGGCTCAGTCGTTAAGGGTCTGCCTTCGGCTCAGGTCATGATCCTGGCGTCCTCGGATCGAGCCCCACATCGGGCTCCCTGCTCAGCGGGAAGCCTGCTTCTTCCTCTCCCACTCCCCCTGCTTGTGTTCCCTCTCTCCCTGTCTCTCTGTCAAATAAATAAATCTTAAAATAAAAAGAGTATAAAGAAGCTCTTTGCTATACTTTGCCAGTAGTTCTCTCTGGGTGATAGGGAGGAAGGTTTTTACTCAGCTTGTGACTGGAAATAACTTCAGTTTTTTCGCAGCAGGGGCTCATATTCTGGGATTGGGGTAGGGGAGTTCGTACTATCGATTGAGATTTCTTGCCTCTGCATCTGATGTATGTTAAGGGAAACTTTTCAACATGACCTAGGGCTCCTTATTGGTTACTCTTTGTGAACCTCAAGCTGTGGGATCCTGCCCCATTCTTTAGAGGGGAAATATTCATGAGTGAAGTTGGTAGAGGTGCATGATTCTGTTTTCCTTTGCATACTGAAGACAAACATCTTATTAAGACTTTCCTTTTAAAGTGTTTAGGAGAGGCTGAATGACAGAACTTTGGGAATCAATATTGGATTGAATATCATTGCCAAATATTAAGTATATCCCAAAGTTTTAGAAGGGACAGTATTTCCATTTAGCCTCCTCTGAGGATGAAAGCAGGAATAGAGATTGAACCAACCCGTCAGAGCCGTTCCTTTGTGCACATGAAGTTGAGCGTGTCATTGACAAAATATATTCAGGTACATTTCTGTGTTAAAAAGACTGAGAGATACATAGGTAAATGTGCCTGTTTTTATTTTTACTCATTAGCATAGATCACTGGGAAAGAACTTGGCGTAGTAACCCTGGATTAGGACTTGGTTCATTTTTTGTTCCATTTTGTTCATCTCCATCACTGGCTAGACAGTGATCTTGGTCACGAACTTGGACCCTCTGAGCCTCAGCTTCTTACACATTTCAATGAAGATTTTAATTGCAAGATCATTTTTGAAAAAATAAACAATTAAGATCCTGCCTTTCTGTCAGTTGAGAACTTTTCACAGAGAGAGGGAATTTTCTCATGGTTGAATTTTTGTTTAAACTTCACAGTGCACCTGAAATTGAACTTTCAGAAGTATCTCTCCATGAAAATCCCTTACTGGAGAAGGCTGCTTCATCCCCACCATGCCATACATGGTTGCTATTTTTGAAGAGGGAGCTGGAATTTCTGGGGGTGAGTGAGCATCTTCCAACCTCAACCAGAGTAGGACTGGCTCTAGAAAAAGAGTATTTAGGTGCATGAACAGTTTCCCCACTTGGATTCATGAGGCATGAGAAACCTGGCAGATGAAGAGGTGACACTGGGCCCAGTTGAGTAGAGAGAAGCATTTCCTCATGAAGACTAGGATAAGAATGGCAAGTAGGATCTGCCAACTCTGGTCAGTTGCTGGTGGATTAATATCATTAATATCCAATTAATAAGTTTTGTCTGCACTTCGATGGAAAGAACAATTATTGTTGTCCACCATGACTATGTAAATAAAGTTACATGAGAAATGTATTGGTCATTCCTGCATTAGGTTATGCCTGTATCCATTCTTAGAGCGGCCTGATGATACTGGAAAATATTGCGTTTGAATTCCGTCTCAGGATTGCCTAAAACCCCAAAGCAATTTCTCATGTTTGGCCTCAGTCATAAGGAAGTTGATGAAATCTTGGGAAAATACCTTCTTATTCTATAGAACATATGCATTTTTTACAGGTAACACAAATTCTGGTTGGCTTGATATGTCTTTGTTTTGGAACAATTGTCTTCTCCGTGATCAATATTTCAGAATTTAAGGAAGACGTTTTTTCATCATTTAAAGCAGGCTACCCATTCTGGGGAGCAGTGTTTGTGAGTAAATATCTACAGTTGCTTCTGAAATAACACTGCACATAGCTTTTCTCTTGTCTAGGTCAGGTCTAACCAATTATTTATTCCAGTATTTAGAGTGCATAAACATATTGCAGTTTACAAAGCACTTAGGTTAAACATGTTAGCACACTTTCATCAGATGAGAAGCCTGAGACTGATAAAAGTTCAATGGATTGCCCAAGGGACATTCAGCTAATAAAAAATGAATTTAAACTTTCAGAATCCAATTCCAGAAAAATATCCCTAACACTATTTATCAATCAAATTATCTTCATAAAGGCAGGGGGAAGTGACTGAGGAGGTGAGGAGAGCAAGGTCGAATGAGGTCAAAGACATCTGATGAGCAGCTACTATGTCCTAGAAACTCTTTTAGGTGCTTTCTCATTGTATCTCCTTTAATCACTGTGCTGTTTCTAAACTAGATGACTGGATGAGACACAAAAATATATAGCTTTATTGATGTGTAATTGACATGCAATAAATTGCACATATTTAAAGTCTAAAATTTGATACATTTTGACACCTGTGTACCCCTGTGCAAACACTATCAGATCAGTATAATGAACATATCCATCACCTCCAAAAACTTCCTTGCACCCCTTTGTAATCCCTCCCTCTGTTCCTTGTCTTTCCATCCTTAAGCAATCACTGATCTGCTTTCCATCACTTTAGATTAGTTTGGATTTTCTAGGATTTTATATAAAGAGAATTATACAGCATATTCTCTCTACACTCTGTCTTCCTTCACTCAGCATAATTATTTTTGATTAATCCATGCTGGTTTTTGTATCAACATTTCATTCACAAGGACATACTTTAACTCTAAACAATATCTCATTGGCTTGGCACTCTGTTAAATACTTAGGACTTATTAGGTCACTTACCTGTTCACGACTTTCCTTGAACCTCTGCCATATTTTATTTGACCCTTCTCTCTACTGTTCTTCATTCCATACACTTAGCTTATTAGGTGTCTCTCAACCCATCATACACTCTGAAACTTTGAAATTGTTTTGAATTTGTGCTATCGATTTATATTTTCGATAAATCTTCTCCCATGTACATTTTCGTAATTACTATATGTCTATATGACATATGTCAGACTTGAGATATACATGCCACAAACACACGTTTCTTGCCCAAAGGAGCTAACACTCTAACACACAGGATGCCCATACAACCAAATAATTACAACAAATTAGAGTAATTTTATAACAGTCATGTACCAGGTCTGCTAGACCTTGCTACCCTGAAAGTAACCCATGGATTGTCAGGGTCAGCATCACCTGGGAGGCTGGTAGAAATGAAGAATCTCAAGCCCCCTCCAGGATCAACTAAATAAAAGTCTTCATTTTGAAACGGACCCATAAACACAGAGAACAAACTGGTGGTTGCCAGAGGGGAAGAGGTTAGGGGGATGGGCAAAATGTGTGAGGGGAGTGGGAGATACAAGTTTCCAGTTATGGAATGAATAAGTCACGATGATAAAAGGCACAACATAGGAAATACAGTCAATGGTGTTGTAATAGTGTTGTATGGGGTCAGATGGTAACCACACTTGTGGTGAGCATAGTGTAATGGATAGACTTGTGGGATCACTATGCGGTACACCTGAAACTAATACAGCATTGTGTGTCAATTATACTTCAACTAAAAAAAAGGAATCTGTATTTTAACAAGACCGTCACATGATTCATATGCACATTTAACGTTGAGAAGCACTCTATAGTAAATAAGAATAAGAAAATAGTGGGCTTCTGGGGAATATGAATATATAGCTTTATAGAGTACCCACAACTTTACCTTATATTTGGAGGATTGGGCTGAAGGAGAAATAAAGGTCCACGACTCACTGTGCTCTTCCCCCTTCCTTTTGTACAGTTTACTATTTCTGGGTTTTTGCCAATTATGGCTGAAAAGAAACACGCTACTTATCTGGTGAGTTGCCATTCTGTCTTTATCCATCCTTGAGAAGATAAGAAAGATGGAATTTTAGGAGTCTTGAGAGAGACATGTCATCATATCCCATATTATGAGTGAACGTGGATATGTGGGGTTTATTTTTCAACCTATTTTGTGTTGGATATAATCATTAAAAACATAATCATTAAAATATCAGCTTTTTTAGAAAACAATAAAGTATAACTACCTTGGCACTTGTTTAAAAAAATATCCTCACACTGGGCCTTGTCCTTGTAAGTACAATCACATGATCAGATAGATGATTTGTTTCTGATTAAGGAGATTGTTTAAGCAGAGATGATGTGTGTCCATGTGGGTCTTTCTGAACATAGTCCTAGCAAGAAGATTATAGATGCTTATTAAACAATGAGTATGTTTCCAAGGTATCCTTGCTTTAATTTACATTTTGAACCAATGCAAAGTTTACTGGGTGCAACCAGCAGTAAAAATGCAGACAGGCCTATTGAATGCACTAGCAGGTGGAGGCTCAGGTCTGAGTGTTGCCCTTCATCATCAGGTGTGGGGAACCCTGGGGGCCAACACCGTCAGCAGCATAGCTGCTGGGATAGGAATCTTCATCCTGACGGTCAACGTGAAGAGGAGCTTGGCTTATATCTACAGCTGCCAGGAGGCTTATGGAGAGGACTTCTGCTTTATGGCTTGTTTTTCCACTGTATGTATTTCTTGTGCGAAGGTTAAGATCTGGGTCCCACTCTTAAGTAAGAGCCCTCTTTTCCTTTTCCATGACCATCATCCTTTGCTGTAACCTCTATCCTATAATGTAGTGTTCTGGGGGTTCATGCACAGAGATGCTGGCTGCCACCCCCTCCCCAGCTGAATTCTGCGAGGTTGGAGTCACCTGCCTCGAACAATTTTGTGGCTTTCCAGTGTGTGTGTGTCGCTTCACTGGGACTGATCACGTGGGGGCGGGGGATGAAATGGTGATAAAATCAGGGGCTGCTCTAAAGGAACACACTTTCAGGGTATCTACCTTGTGACTCTACTTGTCTTGTTGGTTATTGTTCGACAGGAAATTGTGGCAATGATCTTGTTTCTCACCATTCTGGGATTTTGCAGTGCTGTGTCCCTCATAATCTATGGGGTTGGAGAAGTAGTCCAAGGGAACAAGGTAGGTAGAGGCCTGATACTCAATCCTGAATGACAAGCTGAAGAATTTGAGTTTCATCACTTAAAAATACAGCTTGGTTTTCATGGAACATTTCTTCTAGAAAATTTTTTGTCCATGTTTCAGTATTTTGATTTCCAAATCTCTTACTTTAAAATCACAATTTCCACTCATAAGAGCACAAATCTCATGGTATAGCCCCATGAATGAAGGTTAGGAAAGTGGAATCTTCATAATTTTAGAAAATGCAGCTGTGCTTCTAAGTGTGTTGAGCATGAGAGACAAATATGCAGGTAGCTTATGATGGAAACCCTCAGGTATCTGGGCTTATTTTCTCTTCCCCAATAGTTCCCTTATATTTGTTCCTGCTCTCTCCTTTTCCTTGGCTTTTACCTTCATATTTGCTCTGAAGCCTCAGTTTTCTTTCCTTCCTAATTCACGGCAACCAGCTGCATTTCCACTTGCCTTACCCATCCATTATACCTTTGATGTATGAAAAAGAATCACCAATACTTGAAGTGTATACACTTACTCCAATCTTCCAGATGATACACACTCTCTCCATCTGTCCACTTGCCTGAAGCACTCAAGTCTGGTGGCCTTTTTTGATTGCTTTCCTCCAAAGATAAATAAGACATCAGATATACCCAAGTTCAGACACATAATAGTCTCACCAACTTGTTATTGACGGACATAATTTCTTCTGGGCCGACTGGCCAGCCAGACTGGCTTGGTTTGTTGGAGATGGAGGGAATAATTATGGTATAATGAGGAAGAGTATGAGACTCAGAAAGGCAAAAAGAGATGAGCTAGGTCTTGCAAATGAGTCGTCTAGTGGTGGAAAATTCCTGGTGACTGATATTAAATCATTTTTCCCTCATCAGATTGCAGAAGATCGTCTTTATGAAGAATTAAACATATATTCACCAATTTACAGTGAGTTGGAAGACAAAGTGGAGGCATCTTCTCCCGCTGATTCGTAAGAATCATGTCTTCAGAACATTCTGACTCACAGCAAAGGGTCTAGAACAAAATTTTTGTTTAAGGGGCTACCAGCAAAATTTCGATTCTATGATCTGCCAGTTTTATATTAGGATTTATTCTCCAGAGGTTAATATTCTGTCTGTTGTTTCTGTTCACCTACACTGCCCCCGCCCATTTGTGGATATGTGATAGACTCCTATTTTTCTTGTTTTCTATTGCTGTCTCATACAGCAACTTTTGTGGGAAGTCAACATGTAATCAGCAAGCATTTGCTTTGTGCCTATAACCGTGCAAATAGAGGAAAAAGTGGAAGGTTGGTTGAGCACTGAGTTAAACTTTGACAGTTTTGGAACACCTGGGTGGCTCAGTCGGTTAAGTGTCACACTCGATTTTGGCTCAGGTCATGGTGTCATGAGGCATGAGATCAAGCCCCATGTCCGGCTCCTCGCTCAGTGGGGAGTCTGCTTGTGATTCTCTTTCTCTCCCTCTCCCTCTGTCCCATTTCCCACTCCATCTCTCTCTTGATCTAATAAATAAATAAGTAAATAAATAAATAAATAAATAAATAATCTAAAAAAAAAGCCTTTGACAGTTTGATCATGTTTGGCTCTTAGCCCTTTTCAGAGTTCAAAAGAGCTACACATGTGCATGATATATGTCCCACTACTGGACTATAAGCACCTAGAAGGCAAAGCCCGTGCAGGAAACATATACTGAGGACAAATTACGTGTTTGAAATTTCCCACACTTGTGTCTTTCACCTTGTGTTTCCCAGTTCCTCTCATCATGGGAGCTCAAAGTGTATTTACGAAGTGAATGGGTGAACATTCTGGGAGGGTATCCCACGAGGTCAGGCGAGAAGTAGAGTAGACAAGGAGAAAGAAATTACTCTGAAGTGAATTTTGAGGTGATAAGGAGACCAAATTGGCAGATATTTAGCATTAGGAGGACAGTCAGATGGAGATTTGAATAGAATCCTGCAGGTTTGTATTAATCATTTTGGTGGATGTTTATCCTACCAGCTTAGCAATGGATGCTTCCTGCTTATGTGTGATCTTATATGGAGAATCCAACACGGAATGTTGAAGGATCATCAATCTTATAAAATGCATTGGAACCCCAAGCCTATTGCTTATTAGTTGTGGCAAGTTATTTAATTTTTTTACTTGATCTGGCTTTTCTGATCTGTGAAATTAAGTTATTAGGAATAATTTACCTGCCAGGATATTGGAAATAATTTACCTGCCAGGATTTGTGGTGGGAACACACACACACACACACACACACACACACACACACACACACAACTAAATTAAGACTAACTTTAATGGCCCCACTCTCTCATTTCACTTCAACTTTCTCTTTAATATGCTTCATGCTTGACCATCTCACATCAGCATCCTGGCTTGAAACGTTCTGCCCTCTCTTTTGTGCTTGCTTAAATTTCTTCTTTGTTTAATCTCTTCCTTAAGTCCCACCTCATTCTTTAGGGTTTTCTAGTCAAGATTGTTCTTCTCTCTAGATGATGAATTTTTCAAACCAAATACACACACACACACACACACACACACACACAACTTACACTAAGTATAACTTTCCACATGCATACATTTTACATCCCTTTAATGATAATTTTTTCAAAGACACAAAGTCTCATAAAAATCTGTATTATTTCCTGAATCACCAGCACATTCACTGACACAATTTGTTCAATAATGTTTGGAGATTGATGAGTGGGCAGTGGGGAGTTTTACTAAGTTACTCAGTATCTGGTGAGGTGGGTGGGTGAAAACAGGAAAACCATGCATGGAAAGATCATTTAATGAGGAATGTGAAATGAAAATAAATTAATGAAGACCTGAACTAAAAGGGAATTAGTGGGAATGGAGAAAAATGGTCATATCTAAAACACTGAGTGAAAGAGGAATTGGTAGATCTTGTTAACAAGTTGAAATAAAGGTTAAAGTTAGACAAGCAATTGGTCAAAGGAGGACACCTGCTAAGGTTGAAAGAACTGATAGGAAGTCAGAAATATGAATTATTGAGAGAGGAGCACAGATAGACCTAAATTAAGCTCAGTCTCAGACTTTCATTTTTAGGTGACCAAAGAGAAATGCAATGGAGAGAGCCTGACAGTGTCCAATACAGAGTTTCGGGAAAGATGAAATTTTGTGTCATTATGAGAGAGCTCATCATTAAATGAAGCAGTTTAACACTCTGATTTATTTTGAGATAAAAGGGAAGCCAAGTTAACCTTCACATACCTATAATCACAGGGAAAAAAAGAGGAAAAACAAATCTAGCAAAGAAGTTACGAGAATTATCAGAAAAGTGCACTGTGAAGCAGTAGACAGCAGGCAGCTCAAAGTAGAGAAAGGTCCACTAAAGAGAGAATAACTCACCATCATGTGGGCAAGAGAAAAGTCTACAAGAGAAGCCTTGCCCCCAGCGTGGGTGAGAGAGAAGTCTGCCTCCAGGGGAGGCATGGAGATGGGGCAGAGCCAACAGCAACAGTGAATGAATGGCAGAGGAGCAGAGAAATTCAAACCAGGGCATGGTGGTAAGTAAGTGAATAAAACATTTGCAGAGGCATTTAGTAAGAGAGTATGTGATATGAGAAGTCAGAAAATAGATGGCGAGTAGCAAGTCATGAAGAAAAATAAGCAAAATGTTTATGTTGCTCTTGCTGTATTCGTTATTAAGAGGAGGAAAAAGTAATTCACATCTTAGGATAAACAGACAAGTCCTGTGGAAAGCCTGAAATATCATCTTGGGGTTATATTCACAAGTCATTAATAAAATAATTATGTTTTATGTACTTAGAGCGCCAAAATTAGAAAGCGACAGGAAGATATTAACTTCTATGAAACTCCAGACTATGAAAGTGATCACATAACCACATACTTGGTATGCTTATCTAACCCAGTACCTCAGGTTTTCTACTTTCATTTTTCTTTTTCCTCCTTCCTTTCTTTTTTTTTTTTTTAGATTTTTAAAAATTTATTTATTTGACAGAGAGAGAGAGGGAGAGCGAGTGAGCACAAGCCTGGGGAGCAGCAGGTAGAGGGAGAGGGAGAAGCAGGCTCCCTGTTGAGCAGAGAGCCCAACACCCAGGACCCTGGGATCATGACCTGAGCTGAAAGCAGATGCTTAACAGACTGGGCCACCTAGGTGCTGCTCTATTTTCATTTTTCTGAAATAAAATTATGTTTCTCAAAATTTGATAGCAGCATAAAAATATACCCTTTCACTGTGTTGCTGCTAAGCGATATTCCCATTCTGGATCACATCACTTTTGTGGCATATACATTCCCATTCAAACTCCTAAGCCTGGTCTACCAGGACCTCTAGAAATGCATCCAGTTTATCTTTACAACAGTACCATACATTAGCACTCTTTCTCCCACTCAATTCATATTTTAACCAAATTGTTGACTATATCTTTCCTGGATATACAACACAATTTTTGTCTTATTCTGAGAGCTTCCTGCCCCTGCCTGCCTTTTATCACGTGCCCACTTCAGGCATACACTGAGCACAGAACTGGCCTGTTCTTCACACATGCATTCCTTCAAATTAACTCTCTAAAAATTTCAACTTAAAGGTCATCTTCTCCATGAAGACTGCCTGATGGCACACCTGTTCATCCAGCCTTCATTTCTTGCTCCGTAACCACTTTACCCCATGATGCAGTATATGATCATTTATTGTTTGTGTACTTGTGATCTTCTTGATGTAGCTTCAATTACTAGTATTTGTGCAATAAACTGGAATACTTTAAGTTGATTTCCTGTCTGTGTTTGTATTTGTGTATGAGGGTAAGGGTCTGACCAAGAGTAACAGAGAATCAAAGCATCAATTCAGTGATGCCCAGGACCAAGAACAGTTTGTGAGTCCTCCTTTTTGATCAATGTTTTATCAAATGGAACAATCTATAAATAATCCTCTAGACAGAAAACAGTTTTAAGAGCAATTGTCAGCCACCTCTTGCCAATAAATGATGGGATTAAGTGTAAAAGAAACTGTGATCATCAATCTCATTTTACAAGTTGGTTCTGACCCTAATTTATTTGCTGTGTTATATAAACTCAGAACAATCTTCTCCCTTTGTGGACCTCAGGTTCTCTGAAAATGAGCAGAAAGTTCTTGAAAATGCAACAGAAGATTTCCAACTGATCTTTCTGTTTCCATATTCTGTGCTTTTGGTAATCACAATGATTAAGTTTATGGTTGGGATAGCAACAGCAATCAGAGCTATTTGATGCTGGTTGATGTATGGCCTAGTAAGGCACCTGGGACGATAATATTTGTTCTAACCTCCTCTGACAAAAGCTAACCAAAGATTTCTTTCTGAAAACTGTCATAGAGATAAAATTTCCCAAATAATTCCTATTCTATGAAGTTTGAGTCCACCTACAAAAACACGGATTAAAGAGGATACTGTATTCATAATTTCAGCTTGATGTAGAGTGTTGAGGTGAATTTATATATGAAAGAATGTGTAAATCCATTGATAGTCACTGTGTTTCACGAGCATTTTCCTCCCCTGGAAAACCTCTACTCACTGTGGAGTTAGCGTGCTCAGTGTCTCCCAAACAACTTCTCTCTGGGACGCCTGCTCTCTGGGACGCTCTGGGTTTTGGTGAACGACATTGAGGAAAAGGGATTGTTTTGAATGTGAACTTTGGAATATAATATAACCAGAAGCAAATTGTAGTAGCTCTATTAGATACTAGCTCTCTCTGGGCAATTTTATCTTAGTTTATTTTTCTTATTTCTTAAATGGATATATTAAATACAACTATTTAAAATTCATTGTGTATATTCAAAGATCCTGTAGCCAAGTGCCTAGAATGATGTTTAGTACCTATTTTTGCATTCACAAATATTGATGCTTAATCATGAACCTGAAATTAGGAAAAGAGACACTGTCCCAACTTCTTAGAAGCCTTTGACAAAATTCACCTATACCTTGTCACTTCTAGTTGGAGAAAGTGGGTATGGGACCCTGGAATGGACCAGGGAAGATAATTATTAGCAGCCTTCACATAGAATATTTCTAGGTAAATTGAAATGCATGAAATGTACATTAGAGGATGGTACTGTCTTAGCCCTAAACAGGCAGAGAAGTAGATGGGGAGAGGCCATAGAGAAACATGCTACCAGATGAGCTTTGGGAAACTTCTAAAAACATTTCTCTTGGGTGATGAGAAATATCTTAATACATACTATCAACCTATTAAGAATGAACTGCTAGGAAAACACAGTGCAAGAGCCTCAGTCTGAAACAAACACAAGAAACAGAAGGATGGATAATCAAGGGAGACTCTGGGCTCTAACATTAAGCTGTGCCAAAATGGTACCCAGACAGAACAGCTCATTTCCTGTTCTTGTTCTTTGGTGGCCCCAGAAAATATTTTTGGGTTGGATTCTGACCTGTACTTCCAAGAGGACTTGGTCACTGGGATAGACTTAGGCCAGGCAGAAGGAGGGCTGGCAATTAGTCTATGAGAGAAAGTTAGGAATGGCTTTCTACATGGTGTCATAGTTTTCAGCACTTTTCTTTTCCAGAGACAAGTACCCTAGGATAGACAACTGTTACTTCCAGCCTCAAGCCACATTTTTGCCACTTGTAAATGGATTGATATTTTATCTAACAGGATTCTATGGATATGGTAACAGAACAGAATAAGGGCTGATCCCCTGTTGGATTCCAGACATTTTACTCCATCACAGAACAGAAGATAAGAAATAAGTTGTGAATCTTGCCCTTCAGAAGTTTATATTCAAATAGGAAGAGAGAAAAAGAAAGAAAGATTCCCTTGGTGAATAGAAGATGCTGTTAGAACACAGAGGAACAGTATCACTTGCAGAGAAGGTACCACAAGAAATCGACAATTAAATTTTAAAAAGCTGAACTGGAATTCGAACTCTCATGGGGGAAGAAGAAAGAGAATAAAGTTAAAGTTAATTGAATTTCCACTAGGTCTCTAGCCTTCTGCTGGAAGCCTACCTTGACTTAGTTCATTTTAATCCATAAAACAAACTTTGAAGTGAGCAATATCTCTCTTTAAAATCTGTAAGTTTCTTTATATAACAAGAATAAAACCAATTCACCCAAGGTCACTTAGCCAGTAAATGCTAGAGCTTGGATTTAAACCAAAGCCAGCTGGATTTAATATCTATGTTGTTTCCACTTGGCTCTACTACCTCTTTTGGTTATGAGGAGTGTGGAATAAATGAGTCCTGTCATCTTCCGAGTGACTGGTCATTTGTTCCTTATGTGGAAAACTTGGAGCATTGGAGTGACATCAGCATCATAAAGCATAAGACATCACTCCTCTTTTTTATGTATGTATGTATGTATGTATGTATGTATGCATGTATGTAAGCTCCATGCCCAGCATGGAGCCCAGTGTGGAGCCCAAACTCACAACTCTGAGATCAAGACCTGAGCCGAGATCAAGAGTTGGACGCTTAACCCACTGAGCCACCTAGGTGCCCCTGTTCCCCCTTTTAAACAAATAATTCTGCATTTGTCCCTGAACACAAGTACCTCTGCAGGAGCTCTGGGGTTCAGCACCATTCACCAAGGGACCCAGGAGGAGTCTTGCTGACCTGTGCCTCTGGTGTCAGGCAGATAGATCTGGGTAAGGGCTGCTTGCTAACTGGCCACAACCCTCCTTGGCCTCAGTAGGGTAAAACCAGGAGAGGGCTCATCTGGGCATTCCTTGGCGAGAGAGACTTTGTAGAAATCCAGTCTCATCAAGGAGAAAGCTTAGCACTCCGTTTGAGCAAAACAAATGCTAAGTTTTGACACACTGGAGAGGGTAAAGAGGAACTTCCAGGGATGTCCCTTCCTTGAGGAGGCAGAGCATGGGGCTGAAGTAGCTGGTGGCGTTCTCTTTCTCTCTCTCAGAAAAGTGGGAGCAATGAATGAGTTCCCAGCTACCACAGCTGTGCAGGTCACTGCTGGAGAAAACTGTTTCTTTCCTGTAGCACCCTGAGTTTTGAGGCTCCATGACTGGGGGTATGGAGGAGATCAAGAAAGTGACAGATAAGAGTATCAAAGGGCATGAAAGGGACATAGTTCCTGCTGACTGCTTTTAGGACTCCCGCAGAAAGCCCACCCTACAAAGAAACCACCATTAGGTTAATAAGAGATTCTTCAGCAGAAACCTTACAGACCAAGAGGTAGTGGAATGACATATTCTAAGTGTTGAAAGAAAAAACTTGCCTGCCAAGAATACTGTATACAGCAAAGTTATCTTTCAGATATGAAGTTGAAATACTGATTTTTTTTCCAGACATACAAAAGCTGAAGGAGTTCATCGCCACTAAACCTGCCTAGCAAGAATTGCTGAAAGCAGATCTACAGGCTGGAATAAAAAAATAATGTTAGTTAAGAACATGAAAGTATACAACACACAGTGGTAAAGTCAATATGCCATCAGTTTTGGAAGCTCTGATTCTGTAACAAGATGGTGTGTTAGCCACTAACAATAGTATAGAGGTTAAGGAAAATCATATTAAAAATAACTATAGCCACTATAATTTGTTAACAAATAAACCATCTAAAAGAGGTAAATTGTGGCATCAAAAATATAAGGGGAGTATGTGGTTGGAGCTTTTGTATGCTATTGAAATTAAGTTGCTGTCAACTTTAAATGATCTGTTTTATCCGTAAGATGCTTTATGTAAGTCTCATTGTAACCACAAAGCAAAAGCCTATAGTAGATTAGGATCAGAGAGGGAGACAAACCATGAGAGACTCTTGACTCTGGGGAACAAACTGAGGGTTGTGGAAAGGGAGGTGGGTGGGGGGATGGGGTAACTGGGTGATGGGCATTAAGGAGGGCACGTGATGTGATGAACACTGGGTGTTATATGCAACTGATGAATCACTGAACATTATATCAAAAACTAATGATGGACTATATGTTGGCTAATTGAATTTAAGTTAAAAAAAAGGA